CAAATGTCGATCATTTGAGAGGCCCCGATAAACTATGGCATCTTCACATAGTGAAAACCGAGCTCTTGGAAAGAAAAATTGAGGCATCGCTTTACTAAGTGAATTTTGAAAATCATTAGACTAACTCCTGATCAATACCTCTAGTGCCTTCGCTTCTCATTCAAGAAAGCCTGAAGTCCTTAGAGTGGCCTATACAGCCCTCTGATGTGGTCCAGTTGGATGACTTTCACCACTGCTCACCCTGTTCCGCCTTCTGAACCTCGAACAGGCCCCGCACTCCTTGCTTCAGGGTCCTGTCACCTGTTGCTCGCTCAGACCACTGCAGTCCCTTCCTCACCCTCCTTCCGGTCTTTGCACAAATGTCACCCTCTCGATGAGGCCTTTCCTTATGTCCAATCTCAGCTTGCTTTTCCATAGCATCTATTGAATATATAGGTATATTGAATATGAAGTTACACACTCATTGCCTAGCTCAGGAAGAATGTACGAGGAAGTTGCCAGTGGTTGCTTCTGGAGAGAACAATGGGAGGCAGCAGGGTAATATTAAAATTGATCCTTTTTTCTCTTCTTTTCTCTTCAATCTGCATTTAAAAGAAAATGACACCAGAGAGGACCTGGCACAGGTATGTTCTGAATGCTAGGCGTTATGCTTGGCCCTGGGGTAGAGAGACTGCAGACAGGATACCTCTCCCAAGGACTCAGTATTTGTTTAGCCAAGCCCGCAGGAGAGAGAGCACACAAACTGGCCAGGGGGACAGCACGTTCCAAAGCATGCAGTCTCAGTGGATCCTGACAGCCCTCCGGGGCCTTCCGAGTGGCAGGGATGGAGATACTGAGAGTGGCGGTGAAGATTTAAGGGAAGAGGCAGAAAACAGTGGAACCACAGCCTACAGGCGGTATTTGATGCCAGGCTAAGCAGTTTGGCTATTATCCAAGGAGTGGGAGATACTACAAGGTCTTAAGACATTGACACAGCTAAGATCTGAACTTAGCTCATAAAGATCTTTCTCCCTGGAGAACTGGAGATGCCTAGGCTACAGGTGACAAACTGGTGGCATACAGATTTTTAAAAATATATATTTTATTGATTTTTTACAGAGAGGAAGGAAGAGGGACAGAGATCAGAAACATCAATGAGAGAGAAACATCAATCAGCCGCCTCCTACACACTCCCCACTGGGGATGTGCCCACAACCAAGCTACATGCCCTTGACCAGAATGGAACCCGGGACCCTTCAGCCCACAGGCCAACACTCTATCCACTGAGCCAAACTGGTCAGGGCCAGATTTTTTTTTTTTTTAATTTGCCAACACAAGCGCATGGAACAACTAGAATTCAGTAGGAAAACTGTTTGGCAGTATCTTCTTTTAACACAAATCCTTACCTGAGGAAATGCTTATTGATTTTATACAGAGAGAGGGAAAAGGAAAGAGGAAAACATCCATCAGTTGCCTCCTGTACCTGCCCCAACCAGGGATTGGACCCGAAATTTGTGTATGTGCTCCCACTGGGGAATCGAACCAGTGGCCCTTCAGTGCACTGGACAATGCTCAACCAACTGAGCCATACCAGCAAGGGCAGCACTTACAGTATTTGTTTAGCCAAGTCCACAGGAGAATAAAGATTGGGGATGTTTTGTTCACCATCATTTTATACCCTGCAGTTAGTATAGTGTCTGACACACCCAAGGGTTTCATACCTTAACAATTTAAAAAATTTTAAAATTGTACTAAAAGACCATTGCATAAAACTCACTTGCTTTCAGTGTAAAATTCAATGATTCTTAGTAAATCTACAGAGTTTTGCAATCATCACCACAATCCAGTTAGAGAACATATAAAACCCCTGGAAAAAATTCCTCCTGTCCATTTTCAGCCAATCTTTGTCACACTCTCAGGCCCTCGGCAATCACTGATCTGCTTTCTGTCACTATAGTTTAAAATGTTTTACTCCTCAAAGAACATTTTTAAGAGAATGAAAAGACAAGCCACAGAATGGGAGAAAATATTTGCAAAACATATACCAGATAAAGGACTTGTATCCAGAATGAACTCAAAACTCTATCCAGTTATAAGAAAATAACTCAGAAAAAAAGGGGGCAAAAGATTTCAACTAATACTTCATCAAGAAAGACATGAGTGACAAATGAGCACATGAAAACCTGCTCAATATCAATAGTCATGAAGGAAATACAAATATAGCAAAACAGTCAAATGAGATACCGTTACACACCTATTAGGATGACTAAAATGTAAAAGACTGACATTGGATAGGATGTGGAGGAACTGAATTCACATCCTGTTGGTCAGAGAGAGAGATAAACATCAATTGGTTCCCTTCCATAGGTTCCCGAGGGGCGATTAAATACACAACCATTTGATGCATGGGAGGACGCTCAACCAACTGAGGCACTCTGGGCATGCTAAGATAAAGAAAAGAAAACTGTAAAGGTTATTTGGTTCTAGCAATTATTTTTTCTTTTTTAAAATTGGTTTTAGGGAGAGAGAGAGAGAGAGAGAGAGAGAGAGAGAATGATTGTTCCACTTATTTATGCACTTATTGGTTGATTCTTATATATGTCCTGACCTGGGATGGAACCAACAACTTTGGCTTATGGGGACAATGCTCTAACCCACTGAACTACACAGCCAGGGTGGTTCTAGCAGTTTTTAAAAATTTAGGTGAAATTTACATAACGTGCAATTAACCATTTTAAGGGTACAACCCAGGGGCATTTAGTATATTCCCAATGTTGTTCAACAACTACCTAGCAATACCTTTTTTAAAATTTTTTTGTTCTTTTTTCTTTATTTGTACCTAGCAACATCAACAGTGCTGTCTTTACATATACTTTAACATTTTTTCATATTTTTTAACAAGTTAAAAAACAGCAAAATAACTCAAATTACAATGTTATATTTTTCATTCTGATTAGCACCCCACACACCCATACACATATATAAATGCATATGTGTGTGTGCACAGAAAGGGAATACTTGAATATTCAGCTATGCTAAAATTCCATTTCCTAAGAGATCCTCATACTTCATTCATTGTTAGTTATCCTGGATCCTAAAACAGGCTGCCAACCTATGGGACTGTGACAGCTAATGAACAATATGATGGCTATAAATTTGTGCATTCAAGGTAACTCCCTGAGCTTATTTGCTGCCAGTCACCAAAATACTGCAGATTTCACTTAATTCATTCTGGATAGATTGTCAGTCTGCTCTTTGACTCAGCACTGTATGTGATCATCATCATCATTGTTGTTGTCATCATCATCGTTTTCATTTAGTAAAACCAAGTGCGCAAACTAAAGAATAGGTAAATTCAGTTCCCACTAAATTGTTTCTTCTCGTTGTGCCCTCTGTTTTCACTATTTTGGGAATAGTTGAGGCCATCCTGTTTCACCTTGTGTTGCAGTGCTGCCTCTGGTGTGCCTGTCTTGAGAAGAATCTGCTTTGGGTTGGTTGTCCTCAGAAACTGACTCTAAGGCACTCACTCAGTTTTGAGCACATCTCTAGTTACTAGGTCTAGACTGATTTCTACTAAGATGTCTTGGTTTTCATATTTTCTTTCCACATGTTAGGAAAATTCAACCTTCCGTTGTGAGTGCTTTGTTTGAGCCCTGTCCAAATTAAGCAATAGGAGAGAGCTGAGTTATTTAGGTTGGGTTGCTCCTGAAGGCCAGATCCTCTCCCATCACTGCTGCAGTCAGGGATATTTCTTTGGTGTTTTTGTTTGTTTGTTTGTTCTTGTCAAATTCTTGCCTCACCAGGAATTGGTGAACCTCTTCCTGGGGTATGTAATAGTGGTGTATGGTGTGGTCGGGTGGGGAACAGCTGAAACTCTCCTCCTCAGCCTGAAGGGGAGAGCAGAGGGGGAGCTGCCATCACTTTCCATGAGGTGGTTTCTCCCTGTAAATTCTTCTAAATCTCTAGTGTGTAGAGGAGCCAGTAGCCTGGCTGCAGTTGCTGGAGGGGAAGGCTATGGAGGAGAGGCAGGCTCCCAGACTGTCTTTGGATTAGTTCAGTATCACCTACCAGCCAGATGTGTTTCCATGGAAAGAATTCACTCTACCATCATTAAATAGCTTAGCTTCACATGTTTTATTGAAACAGAAATTGGTAGAACCACAGCTCCGTGATCCATTTGATTTAGGTTTTAGTTCTCAGACTCCAATCATAGCAGAAGAGGCAGCTAGACATCTTTTATTTACTATACATAAACATGAATTGGTGTTCTTTTGCTGTAATACCCCATTTTCACCTATACGTGGGTTAACTAGTTTATTACAGGCTGATTGCCAACAGTGCTTTTTAGTTAGGCGTGCAGTTTTGGAAATTGTTACAGTGTTTAGTTTTGCCATGTAAAAATCCATTTTACATATAATTACTTACAAAACAGATTTCTTTTTACAGATACCTGCTACTATAATCATGGTAGTTTTTCTATTTGTAGAAAGGTTTATTTTAAATAAAAATAAAGGTGAGTCAACATAAGGAAAGTAATACGGCCTTAACCAGTTTGGCTCAGTGGATAGAGCGTCGGCCTGGTCCCAGGTTCGATTCCAGCCAAGGGCATGTACCTTGGTTGCGGGCATATCCCCAGTAGGAGGTGTGCAAGAGGCAGCTGATCGATCTTTCTCTCTCATGGATGTTTCTGACTTTCTATCTCCTCTCCCTTCCTCTCTGTAAAAAATCAATAAAATATATAAAAAAATGAAAATAAATAAAAAATGACTTATAAAAAAAAAAGAAAAGAAAGTAATACATAATAACACAAGTGGTTTGCAGATGCACCCGAACAAGAGACAGTGGGACCCGAACCACCAGAGTTTGGAAAACGGGTCTCGCGGGAGTAGAGGGGTGGGTGCGAGGGGACTACGGAAGCCCGGAAGGCCACGGAGAAGGCGTAAACCCCGACCTCGTGGGAAAGATGGCCCCGCCTCCCCGTCAGCGCGGCGCAGCGCGCAGGCGCAGCGGGCTCGGCCTCCGGGCGCAGGCGCGGTGCGAGCGCCGGCTGGGTCCCCGGCGTCCGCCTCGGCGGAGCTCGCGCTGCAGGGAGCGTCGGGATGAGCGCGGGGGAGGCCGACCACTGGGCGTGGCTGCTGGTCCTCTGCTTCGTGTTTGGGTGCAATGTCCTCAGGATCCTCCTCCCGTCCTTCTCCTCCTTCGTAAGTGGCTGCCTCGCCTTCCAGGGGCCGGTGGGTCGCGGCCTCCGCCCTCGCTGAGCCGGGCGGAGACACGGGGGTCCCAAGCCGGCCGCGGGATGGCCGCATTCGGCCTGCAGAAGCGCCTTGGTCGGACCTTCTGCGTTTTAAGAAAGAAACACTCAAATCAATAAATACAGACGTGAGAGAAACGCCTGGCAACGCTTGGCCACGCTTTCACGTGGAGCAGTGTTCAGGTTGGGCGTTCTTAGTGGCCCCCCCCCCCCCATTTCCGTTATTTCTTGTCTCTGGAGGCGTCCGGCAGCCTCGGCTGCAAGGGGGACAGTGCCCGGAGCAACACGGCGCCCCCAGGTTGCCGGAGGCCTCGGCCTTCCTCGCCGGCCCCGGAGAGATGGAGCTGAGGGTGCAGGAGGGATGGGGTGGCGTGGTTGGCAGTGCGGACCCTGAACCTCAGGACCGTGTGATGCTGCCTTGACTCAGGGCAGCGCCGGGCGCCCGTAGGGAGCGCTGTCTCAGCAGCGCTTCTTGCCCAGCGCGAGTGCGTGACCTCGTGTCCCGCTGTCACGGCTGCGGTGAGAGGTGAATGTCGCCCCATCTTCGTTTACCTCCGAGAGGAGTCTGACTCATAGTCACCCCGCTAGTGACTGTGGGGGCGGAAGTTTGATCCTTGTTTCGTGATTCTCTTACTTCTCCTCCTGGAGCATGAATAGGGGCTGCGGGGCAACTTTGAGGGGGGGTGGAAACTGGGGAGGGGGGGATGTGTGGGAGAAACCTGAGCTGTTCCCTGGGGAAGGGCGCCCTCCATTGGCCCACAGTGGGAGTGAGGCGCTCTGACCCGGACTGAGACCTGGAACGTTGGGTGCAGGGGTGGCAGCATTATTCCGGAAACTCAGTTCTCCCTGCTTTTCTCTCCTGCTATAAATTGCTGCTGGGGATGGGTATTTAAGACGAGGCAGGATTTATACATTTTTTATGTTTTGTTCTATCAGTATTCACTGAGTGCTTGTTTTGTGTAAAGCTCGAGGCCCTAATGTTCTGTGAGGCATAGAGACTTCTCTTTTAGCTCCCAGGCATTCCTCAGAATCTTTCCTGATGCTGCTTAGTCTTTAAGATGATGTCCCAAGTTCTTAAAATTGCATGAACGACTCTTGAAGAGCTGGCCCCTGGCCATTTTTCTTATTTTAAAAAAATTATGGTGATGCATACATGTATATACTCGAGGCCCAGTGCACAAATTCATGCACGGGTGGGGTCGGGTAGGCCCGCCCCCGATGGGGGATGTGTGTGTGTGGCTGACCCCTGCTGTCCGCTCCACCAGATGTCCAGGGTGCTGCAGAAGGATGCAGAGCAGGAGTCTCAGATGAGAGCAGAGATCCAGGACATGAAGCAGGAACTCTCCACTGTCAACATGATGGACGAGTTCGCCAGATACGCCAGGCTGGAAAGAAAGATCAACAAGATGACAGATAAGCTCAAAACTCATGGTGCAGTTTTTTTTGTTGTTGTTTTGAATTTTTATAAGAGTTTATTTGAGCCAAACTGGTGACATTGCCGGGAAGCAAGACCTCAAATGCTCCCCTCATGGTACTGTTTTCATTTGTAGTTTTTGGAAAGCTTCATAAGAGCTGATTCATAGAAAAACCTTTTCTGTGAGGATTCGTAGAATACACGCACTGATTCTTGGATGTTCTAAAGGTTGATATAAACCTTGACGTTGTCTAGGAGAAACCCAATAATAATAATTACATTGCTTTCTCTTTATTTTGCTGGTGAACCTTTGCTTTCTAACAGAAACATTCAGGATACTCTTAGAGTCTCTTCAGAGCCAACTTGAAAGGTTGTCATTTTCAAATTCAACTTTTCTGAGAGAAGCCTAGAAAAGAATCTCACAGTGGATTCTCAGGGGCTTTCTTTTTCTTTCTTTCTTTCTTTTTTTTTTTTTAACATATTTTTATTGATTTCACAGAAGAAGGTAGAGGGAGAGAGAGATAAAAACATCAATGATGAGAGGGAATCATTAATTGGCTGCCTCCTGCAGGCCCCCTAGTGGGAATCGAGCCCGCAACCGGGGCATGTGCCCTTAACTGGAATCGAACCCGGGACCCTTTAGTCTGCTGGCCAGTGCTCTATCCACTGAGCCAAACTGGCTAGGGTCTCAGGGGCTTTCTTATTCTGTTCTCTAAAAAGTGCTATCCGAGTGTAGACTCAGGTCTTACTCATTTTGATGTTTGCCACTGTCCATAACAGTCTGCTGTGATGACGATTTTCACAGGGCAGCCTGTGTGCTGAGAGCATGCACTGTGAGAGAGCTGTCCGCATGGCTAGTAAAACAGGCAGAGGGGCCTGCCCAGGACCCAGGCAATTAGGCTCCCTTATGGATTAGTGTACAGTGTAGACCGGGGAATCGGGGAAGAACATTTAGTCCTATTGATTGGTAAGTGCATTGTGAAAAGAATCTCTGATTTAGATGAATAGCTTTTTCTAAAAAATATATTTCATTGATTTCAGAAAGAAAGAGAGAGGGAGAGAGAGAGAGACACATTAGAGATGAGAGAAAATCATTGATTGGCTGCCTCCTGCACGCCTCAGACTGGGGATCGAGCCAGCAACCTGGGCATGTACTCTGACCGGGAATTGAACTGTGACCTCCTGGTTCATAGGTCGATGCTCAACTACTGAGCCACACCAGTGAGGCTAGATGAATAGCTTTAAGGTTTTTTGAAATTAAAGTTTCACATATCCCAATCTGCATGTGATTCTATTTTATTTTTAATTTTTGAAAAATAATTTTATTGATTTCAGAGGGGGAAGGAGAGAGAGAGAGGTAGAAACATCAATGATGAGGGGGAATCATTGATCAGCTGCCTCCTGCACGCCCCCACACTGGGGTCAAGCCTGCAACCCGGGCTTGTTCCCTAACTGGGAATTGAACTGTGACCTCCTGGTTCATAGGTTGATGCTCAACCACTGAGCCACTTTGGCTGAGCTCTGTTTTAAATAATAGCATAGTGGGTGATGTAAGACATCCTATTTTATATGTACATGCATAATTAGAAAATATTTTGTGAGACAAAAGAGCACTTCTGGCCCTAGCCGGCTTGGCTCAGCGGATAAAGCATCAGCCTGTGGACTGAAGGGTCCCAGGTTCGATTCCGGCCAAGGTCACATGCCTGGGTTGCGGGCTTGATCCCCAGTGGGGGGTGTGCAGGAGGCAGCCAATCAATGATTCTCTCTCATCATTGATGTTTCTATCTCTCTCTCCTTCTCCCTTTCTCTCTGAAATCAATAAAGAAATAAATATATTAAAAAAAAGAGCACTTCTGTGTATTTGAATATTTTCTTCTCCTTTCAGGGCTGATAGAATCATTTCATCCTATTTTTCCTTTCAGTGAAAGCACGGACAGCGCAGTTGGCTAAGATCAAGTGGGTTATGAGTGTTGCCTTCTACGTATTGCAGGTGAGTGTCCTGTGGTGTCACTGGGTCAGTAAAGCTGGTGATGGACTTGGCTCCACTCCGGCCCCTGGAATCCAGGCTTTTCCACCTTCAGCTGCTGTGCTGAGTGTCCTGCAGGCATGTAACTCCGAACACTCTGAATTCATAAGTTAAACAAAAAGCCTTTCTCTTGATTAGTGTCATTAACTCTTGGGATTTTTAAGCAAATGAACGCCTAAGCAACTCCTCTGGAGTTCTTCATGTGGCCTCCACTCCAGCGCAGGTTTGGGAGGCTGGGGGTGAAGTGAGAGAAGCTTACTTAGAAATGGTGTTTTCTGAGATGGCCAGTGGTTTTGGCTGTTGCTTCCTCCATGGTCTACAGATGGGTAAGTGACTGTCTGTTCTCCAGGTGGGGAACCCGTATTGTCATTAAAGTCCAGTACCACTGACTCACAACTTTCCTAGGGGGGGACTTGCCTTACCCTGAGGTTGCGGATCTGCTATGGCTGCTTTATTTTTTTTTTTTTTCGCTATAAGTATTACAAAGGGTATTACATAAGTGTCCTTTTTCCCTCCCCCCCCACCCTTGACAAGCCCCTGCCCTTCCTTACCCCCCAGTGTCTTATGTCCATTAGTTATGGTTATATGGATGCATACAAGTCCTTCGGTTGATCTCTTACTCCCCTCCCTCCTGTCCCCCAACCCTCCCTGGCCTTCCCACTGCAGTTCGACAATCAGTTTGAGGCAGCTCTGCCACTGTATTTATTATTGTTCGAAAGTTTGTAATGGTCTTAATTATCCACGAAAGAGTGAGATCATGTGGTATTTTTCCTTCATTGACTGGCTTGTTTCACTTAGCATAATGCTCTCCAGTTCCATCCATGCTGTTGCAAATGGTAAGAGTTCCTTCTTTTTAACAGCAGCATAGTATTCCATCGTGTAGATGTACCACAGTTTTCTAATCCATTCATCTACTGATGGGCACTTAGGCTGTTTCCAGATCTTAGCTATGGTGAATTGTGCTGCTATGAACATCTGGGTGCATATATCCTTTCTGATTGGTGTTTCTGGTTTCTTGGGATATATTCCTAGAAGTGGGATCACCGGGTCAAATGGGAGTTCCATTTCCAATTTTTTGAGGAACCTCCATACTGCCTTCCATAGTGGTTGCACCAGTCTGCATTCCCACCAGCAGTGCACAAGTGTTCCTTTTTCTCCACATCCTCTCCAGCACTTGTCGTTTGTTGATTTGTTGATGATGGCCATTCTGACAGGTGTGAGATGGTACCTCATTGTTGTTTTGATTTGCATCTCTCGGATGATTAGTGACTTTGAGCATGTTTTCATATGTCTCTTGGCTTTCTGAATGTCCTCTTTTGAAAGGTGTCTATTTAGATCCTTTGCCCATTTTTTGATTGGATTGTTTATCTTCTTTTTGTTAAGTTGTATGAGTTCCCTATAAATTTTGGAGATTAAGCCCTTATCAGATATGACGTTGGCAAATATGTTTTCCCACGAGGTGGGTTTTCTTGTTGTTTTGTTGATGGTTTCTTTTGCTGTGCAGAAGCTTTTTATTTTGATGTAGTCCCATTTGTTCATTTTCTCTTTAGTTTCAACTGCCCTAGGAGCTGTATCAGTGAAGAAATTGTTTTGGCATATGTCTGAGATTTTGTTGCCTTTGTATT